AATAATAATAATAATAATAATAATAATAATAATAATAATAAAAATAATAATAATAATAAAATAAAAAATAAAATAAAAAACTTGCTATTTTCACTTTTTGTAGGTATTTTAAGGGTCTAGAATCACATAAAATGTCACATCCAATTAAGTCACAGTGACCTAGTGACAAAGGCACTGAGGGCTCATTCCCTATGAAATTATATATCGTCCCACGGGGACTGTCACTGAATGGTTTAAGGGAAAGGTTTGCCAGATTGTCTTATGTTCTTTTACATGAATCAAAACTATTTTCTACAGATAAGGACATATATATTTTTTGCCCAGATTTGATAACAAATGGCAGAAAAGATAAAAATTTAAAGCTGTCTTTTTTATTTTTATTTTGCAAAAATCCGCGGACCCGAACCCGCGCCAAATTAATTAAATTTAGGCACTCTCGTGCCTTCACACATAAATCTAATAACATTGATTAAACGAATCCGAATGCGTCCTCTGTAGGTTAAGAATAGGGCCTACCTAGCTTTTGTTTAATGTATGTGAGAAGTGGGACTCCGAATAAAAATTTGAAAAAAAAGTGGGTGTCGTGGAAGAGGCTAAACAAACTTTATGTATTAATTCTCTTTGTAAAAAAATAAATCACCGATATGTGTGTGGCTTATTGAAGTTTTGATCACCATCCTATACGATTTAGGCGTGTTTTGTTTTTGCAGAAAGATGATCATGATCCAAGGCTCGGCCAGGAAATCCCACAATACACAGCGGCCCTCAAAATTGAGGGGGATTTCTGTGACGTCACAAGAAAAATGGCCGATTTTAGAAAAGAGCGGTAGCACAGGTACCCTATATTTATAGCCCCAAAAGAGCAAACTGATTGGTGAGTAGGAATGATTGGTAGTTAGAAATTATAAGATTTGATTTAAGAGTGGAATATATTCTATTTTGCACATGATGGAACCGTAATTTTTCCTTTATAACATTCTAAAGTTTGACCTACTTTTATTTCTCCCACTCCCAGCAGCAAAAGTAGTACAAAGTATATCAGCGGGCACAGAGGATTTGTATCCTGTACTAAAACGCTACTTGATCATTTTGTCCAGTGCATTGCAGTTAAAGACAACTTACAAAAAGACGTTAAATTAAATAGCATATCACCTATTAGTGGGTATTTTTACTTGTCAAGTAGGAATTGCACTACTCTTAATTCTTACTACATGTTATTAAAGGTTTAAAGTAGTCGATGCTTGAGGTTGCAAGATGTACATGTCGTATGGAAAGAATGATTAACTTGAGAGAGCAAAACAATGGCAATTCTCCATTTACTGGACTTAAACCTTATTAGGTATTTTGTTTTTAAACATGTTTTATGTGTTTTATTAAGAGGAAAGCATTCCAAGTACACGTAAAGAAATTGTCAAATCTGTCTGATAATTTGTGTCATTTGTATTTTTACACACAAATTCTTTAATTCGCCCATTTTTGTCTTTTTTTTTCAGCTCATGACTTTGTAAAACATAAGTATATTGAAAAATTTAAAGCTCTGAAACTGTAAAATGCCGCCCCCAACGAGCCCCCAGGATTTGGCAACTCACATTGCAGCATTTAAGTCCTATGTGGCCCTGATAGCAGACCCAAGTCCAGGAAGTAAGTATTAGCGCGCGTGCATGCACGCACGCACACGCACACACACACGCATGCACACACACACACACACACATATGCATGCACACAAGCACGCATGCACACTGTCGAATCTACCTCTCTCTCTCTTATCTCTTATCCACCTCTCTTTTTCTCTCATATTACTAACAACATTCCATTTCTCTGTCATTAACCCCTTCCCTCTCTTCCTCTCTCATTCTCTCTCTCTCTCTCTCTCTCTCTCTCTCTCTCTCTCTCTCTCGCAGAATGATTAGAACATATCATGACTTTTTCTCCTCAGTGATGAGTTGAGGAAATTATGATGACTTCCATTGCTGATAAGATATGACTGCTTCAGAAATAAAACTAGTGTGTCACATAATGATATTTTCATTCGAACACAAAGTTTTTATTGATCTTAATTATCTTGATGTTATTTTTGTTTTCAGTTGAGAAAAAACTGAAAGCAGCTCAAGAGCTAAGTGAAAATTTTGATGTAGGTAGACAGAATTTTCTTTGAGGTTAATATTACCCCTTTCTATGTACAGACACAGATGTGTCTGTACATGTTGCCATCACCTGCGTCTGTTGTCGTCGCCGTCGTCGCCGTGCACTTTCCTTGTAAACACGATAAGTGGAAGGCAGTTTTACTTTTTGGCTTTATATTTACAGAGCTGATGAATATTCATAAAACGCAGGTCAAGTTCGAAAATCAGCATGATCGGGCCATTATTGTAGAAGTTATGCTGTTTTTTCACTTTTCAGCATATATGCAACACTGTAAACACATTTTAAGGAAAACCGTTAGGCCTGTTGTCATGAAACTCACAGGAGTAATCAATCTTACTAAAACGCAGGTTGAGTTAAAAAATCAGCATAATCGGGGCATTATTTTAGAAGTTATGCTGTTTTTTCACATTTCCTCAGATTCAACTCTTAGGCATGTTAACAGTCTCATTATTGAACTAATAAGATATGTAAAAGTGTTTGTTTGACATTTCCTGCATCTTTACAGCATTGTTAGTTGATTATGTAAAAATGATGGTAAACTTGTTATCGTGTATTGTGTAATAAAGTGTCAAAAATGGAAATAAACTCATATCACTGCAGTTTGTCAGATTCAATCATTCACTATGTTCAGAATCTCAGAATGGAAGAAATTGGACATTTAACACTATTCTATTGATATTTTTCCCATCTCATCAATTTTCTTAGTTGATCATATAAAAATTGCAGTAAACTGTTTATTTTGTTTTATGTTAAAAAAAGTGTTAAAAATGGAAATAAACCCATGTCAGAACAGTGCTGTCTTGTTTCACACTTCCTCAGATTCAATTCTTAGGCATGTTAACAGTCTCATTATTTATCTAATAAGACATGTAAAAGTGTTTGGTTGACATTTCCAGCATCTTTACAACATTGTCAGTTGATTATATAAAAATGATGGTAAACTTGTTATCGTGTATTGTGTAATAAAGTTTCAAAAATGGAAATAAACTCATATCATTGCAGTTTGTCAGATTCAATCATATACTATGTTCAGAATCTCAGAATGCAAGAAATTGGACATTTAACACTGCTCTATTGATATTTTTTCCATCTCATCAATTTTCTTAGTTGATCGTATAAAAATGGCAGTAACCTGTTAATTTTGTTTTATGTTAAAAAAATTGTTAAAAATGAAAAATAAAAACCATTTCGGTATTACCCGTTGAGCATAATTAAAATTTGATGTTGAATTTGCAGTTTAACATAATGTACTTTTGCATCAGAATTGACAGTAGCCTATTTTGTGCATAGTTATTTCCTGTTTTTTGTCTGTACATTTGACAGCTTTGCTGCCTTGTTGTAGAAAATGCAGTCAAAAGGAAAGAGACAAAATGGTTTTAGAATGTAAAAATCATCTTATATGTACAGTTGAATTGAAAGTACAAAGAGTGAAGACTGTCATGGCTATTTAGGCCGTAAAATTATTAGCTTACTTTGATGTAGACAGAATCAAAGTTTCTTGTCTTGGACCCTGTCAAGTTGTGCAATTTTATGTATTATCTTATTTTTCTTCGCTAATTTCATTGTTCTGAGCATTTTTGCGATAGCATAGGGAAATGGAACTTGAAGTACCATTTATTATATGTTTTTAATTAATTATGACATTGATGAGAATAACAACTACAGTCACAATTATAATATTTAATGTTGATAATAATAATAATAATAATAAATTATAATAATTGCTGGGCATTTGCAGGCTGTTTCTCCTGGTAATTCCTAAAGTCCTGTCATTTAAGTATCAAACAGTGATGCATTTATAAATAAATAGCTTTATTTTTATTTGAAATAGTTATAACTATTATTCTGGTTCCAGGCTGTGGTTGCGTCCCCCCAGTACCCCCAGTTTTTGCAGGAGACCATGAGGATATTCTTGAAGGTGCTTCAGGAAGGCGAACCCCATTTCATCACAGAGCAGAATATTCAGGTCCATGTAAGTGTCAGAAGAAGTTATGCTTTTACCTTATGGTGAGAATATATGTTTTTGCCCATTTTCAGCAACTGCATATACCTATGCTTTTATAGTGTGGTGAGTAGTTACACTCGGGGTCTCTTTGCATCTTTGTGAGTTCAGGGTCAATTGGGGCATTTTCAGGGGAGATGCATCCTAGTATGATGAAACTGAAGACTTTTCATTCAGGAACTGTAAAAGCTTAAGACCTTTTGTTTGTTGCATTTTGTACAGCTTGTCAAGCTCAAAACTGGAGATGTTTTTTAATAATAATAATAATAATAAAACACTTCTTTAAAAACCGCTCTACACATGCGTCTCAGCGCTGTTTACATAAAAATAAAAACTCCACAGATACTAAAACAGAATACTTAAAAATTTTAAAAACTAAAAAGATGCTATAAATTAAAGTATTCTTTAAATAAAAAAGTTTTTAAATTCTTCTTAAAACAGTAATATGAGTCCTCCAGAGACACATTAGATCTTGTGATAAAATTAGACCATAAAGTCGGTGCACAAATCTCGAAACTTCTGTGTCCATATGTTTTAAGAGTCTTTGTGGTGTCTTTTCGCTTAAGTTGAAGTTGTCCACTAGATCGAAGTGATCTGATAGGAGTTAAAAGTTCTATGGTAGAGTTTAAGTAAAATGGACAGTCGCCCTTTAAAATCTTAAAAGTCAAAAGTAATATTTTAAAAACT